TATACATGTTTATATAAGTATAATATATATATATATATATAAAACATATATATATATGCATGTATGTATGTATGTATGTATGTATGTATATATGTGTGTATGTATGTGCAAATAGTTTTATTTATTTTATAAATTCATACATTTCATACATTTTATGCATTTCATGCACTTGATACATCATTTGCATTTCATACAATTCATACATTTTATGCATTTCATACATTTTATGTATTTTATGCATTTTATGTACTTCATACATCATATGCAGTTCATATATTTCATACATCATACGAATTATGTGGTTAACTATGGATGATGGTTCTATCGACGATGTCCTGAGGGCTTAATGTATCATGCCTATTTATTTTGCGTCTTTCAATCACAGGAAAAATATGGCCGGATCCGAACGAAGAACAGTGTAGTGGAGAATGCCATGGTATGTTTACTCTATTGTGTTTAAAAAAGGTCGCAATAGATTTTCGCTGTAACGGGAGTATTGAGAAGAATCGTTTTTACACCCCGAATCTGTCATACAAATTGCACATGTATGCCGTAGCTGTAGGATTGATGGACATGCGATCCACGGATGTGTGCCCGTTTACGTTAATGCTGTTTTGTCCGGTTGCCCCAGCTGTATTCCCAGTCGTGTGCGTAGAATATACACTTACACATCCGTTTGGCTATGTAGTGTGCTCATTGTACAGGTTCTGCCAAGTATGTCGGCGTTTATGCGCTACCGCGAATACGTACTGCAGGCCCGAGTTTCAAGATTGTACTAGACGTTGCGTCGATTATTAGCTAAACTAGTTATAGTGAATAAACTAGATGATGTACGTTAATGCGCTACCACGAATACGTATTTCAGGTGATGAAAGAGTGGGCCAAGCTGACAGACCGAGTGACAAGTGCGTACAAGACATGGCATTGCGAACTCGTCAACGCACCGCAAGGATGGCGACTGGATATGACCGAAGGTGTGCGCCTGACACACATTTAATGCGTACTTGGTGTGAGAGACTGTGTTAGTGTGCAATAAGTGTGTGAGACTCACTAATTTTGTGTGGAATTAGTGCGATTAGCAGTTGATTAGTTTGTTATTGTTTGGAGAATATTATGGTATATATATTTATATATATGTGTGTGTGTGTGTGTGCGTGTGTGTGTGTTTGGTGGGGGGGGTGGGGTGTGTGTGTGTTTTGTGCGTTAAGCAAGTGTTCATATTCAGATTTCTTGCTCTATTTTTAACCAAACAACAATCGATCAATCTTAATACCCGTGATGCCGGCTTCAATTCATATTTAATCCACGTACACCTACGCACAGGTATTCTTTCACGCAAGCGATGCCGATTGCAGGCAATTGAACTACCACTGGGTAGTCATGTACTACCTGCGGAGACCAAACCCCTTTTGCAAGACATTGAAAGTGGACAATTAATGAGTGACATCGAGGGTATAGCCCGGCCGAGTGACATCCGAAGTGAAAACGTTATGCCGGGTGATATCGACAGTGTTGTGGTGATGAGTGACTATACGAGTGCAAATGGATTAGTACCGAAGGACCCGGACCCGGACAACATGCCAAAAGTTGTAAAGGGTAACAATCCGGGACCAGAAATTAGGTTACCAGTGAGCTCCTTAGCGAACGATACTCTAGCCGGCGCAAAAGACAACACGCGTAGTTCTGTTAGCATGGGCTCTAGTGTGCAGGAAAACGCCACAGATATTATATATGTTGCGCAAGATGGCCCCGACGAGAAGAGTAGTGGTGAGAATGTCGCAGATAGTTTAAAATCCTCACAAATCGCCACAGATACGAAGGCAGCTGGGGATATGGGACATACGACCAGCGAGAGAAAGGGTCGCAATAGTGCTACAGATGTTCCAAGACCAAGACCAGCACAGTTGCAAATAAATACTGTGACTAGGCGCCAATCTTCCGATAACTTCGGCGTACCCATACCCAAGCAACGGCCGGCGAGTGTATATTTCCCCAATCAGCGATCGAATGAACATGCCACAGATAATAGTTGGAAGAATAAGGAGGAGGCGGAGGGTCCAGACGATAAAGCTGCGCTTAGATCGACAAAGAGCTATCACGCACCCAAACCTATCCCACCCAAACGAGCTTCGTTGCAAAACGTAAAAGTACGCAAACAGAACAGCATGAGCGGCTCGGGCGGAAGTGATAGCAGACCAGTCTCTGCGTCGTTGGACGGTGAGGAGCGAGTAAGAGAAAACGTAGACGGGCCAGGGAATGGGAAACACGAGTACCAAAACGTAGATACAGATGCGCTCACACGGCAATTGGACGACACACGACTGCGCTTACGAACACAGCAACAACACACACCAACACCCACCACAAACAAACCTCCGGTAAAAACACCACGAGAAGGGACTAAGAAACTCAAGGCCTCCCCACAAACTTCAGACCTGGGTTTGAGGGAGAACCATGGCCAACCTACACAGCGTATACCTGCAAGGCCTGGAAAAGGAAAGGAACATGTCGCAGATGATAATGTTAAGAGTGTGGCTAGTTTAAGAGTATCGAATGTGGTGACAGTAAGCAAAGGGGTGCGAGAGCTACTGCGAGAATGTAACCGGCAGATTGCTCACAGTAATGGGCCAGTGAGGTATGTGTTTAAAGAGTGCTGTGAAACTTTTGCAACCAATGGTTCACAAAGATAGGTGGAGGAGAATTATTGGGTGTGAGTATACACGTGTATATATATGTGTGAATGTACATGTACACGTGTATATGCAGGCTACATTTGTACTTCCGTACTGAAACATATGGGCTATTTATATATATGAGTTATATATATATACATATGTATATATATGTATATATCTGTATATG